GAAGGAAGGAAGGAAGGAAGGAAGGAAGGAAGGAAGGAAGGAAGGAAGGAAGGAACAGATAAGTGAATGAATGAATGAGCAAATAAATGGATGGATAAATGAAAGAATAGAAGAGTACGTGGATAAAAAGGTGAATCAATAACAGAATGAAGAAACGGATGAGTGAATGAATGAATACATTTACAACTCTAACACACGTCTGTTACATTATGATACGTTTCCCAGATGCACATTGTGAATTTCGCGGAGAAGTACGGTGACGTCAAAACAGCGATGTCTAAGCCTGACGGTCTGGCCGTCCTAGGAGTCTTTTTCCAGGTAAATTGTGTTCTGGTAGTGATATAACATATGCAGACACGTACACACATATACAAGCATGTAGACACAAACACACACACACACAGACACACAGACACACTCACGCATGTGTGCACCCACACATAATTACACACACACACACACACACACACACACACACACACACACACTTACACACACAGCAAAACAAAACACAGCAAAACGACAAAAACAGACAAATAGACCTGATAAAAAATACCACTCCCCCCCCTCCCCCACCAAACCCGTTCAATTTATCTATCTGCACGTAAATTTGAACAAAGCTGAGGATTTTCAATTCAAACGTGAAGTTGGTCCTGTTGTATGGATGTGAGGCATGGAACGCCTCACAGACTTGTATAAAGAGGATCCAGGTATTCTTGAACAGGTGTCTAAGAAAGTTACTGAGGATCAGATGGACAGACAGGGTCTCCAATGAGGAAGTGTTAAGGAAAACAAGACAGATCCCAGTCAGAGATGAGGTAGGAAGAAGGCGGTGGCAATGGATTGGACATACTCTCAGGAAGTCAGGCAGCTGCATAGCAAAGAAAGTTTTGAATTGGAACTCACAGAGGGGAAAACTTCGTGGAACCTTGAGAAGAATCACAGAAATCGATGTACAGAAAAGTGGGAAGACATGGAATAACATCAAGAGGCTAGCCCAGGATAGATAAAAGTGAAGGGTGTTTGTCCGTGGCCTATACCCCGGTGCAGGGTGAGAAAGGCAATGATGATGATGATGACGTAAATTTGAAACTGTCTAAGACGGCTACCCATTGTCGAGGAGAAACTTAAAACAGGTGACCATCTTGTACAGTGTCGTTATGAAGAAATGGGAGGTGTCCGTTTGTACATAATATGATTGTCTTAAACAGGTGACCGTTAAAGAAAGTTCAACTGTACTTCCCTCTCGTATATCTCCCTGTAGGTTAGCGACAAAGACAACGCAGAATTCGCCTCAGTGGATGCAGCTCTACGGCACGTTCACAAAGCAGGTACGTTTATAGAGCGGTCAAAAATTCGTGGCGCAACTAATCCTCGAATATCTCTTTAACTTGTGAATCAATGCCACCCGTACTTTGCACAACAGTTTGAATCAATTTGTCTTAATTTATTCATAATTTTCAACTACAACTGTGATTAGATTAAATAAGTTTTCTTCATAAATCTTTATGAAATACTATATATCTCCGCCTCGCAAAAACTAAGATTGTGTTAACAGCACTTCCTGCTTCTCACAAACATTTTGCATACGCATATTATGGGCTATGTAAAGCTCACCAATGACACTTTTTAGGGGCAACATTTTTTACCAGAAATTAATTTTATAGTGAACAGTTTTGGAGCACTAAAGGTTCTCAAAAACATGCAATCAATATGATTAATGTCGCGATTAGAAAAAAAATGGCGGACATGCTTTTAAAAGCATTGTTGCCCCTGCTGTAAACCTTTAAAAATCTGTAGAAACTCCTTAAATTTTATATTAGTATTTATTAAGGAATTTTATAGAATACAGCTAACAGGTGTTTACAAAAATATTGATCTGGTCGGTAAGACAAATTGACACAAGTCATTGTGCAAAAGCTAGAGAGTCCAATTTTGATAATTGAGGAAATATTTGACAAGAAGTTGCGCCACGAAATTTAGACTGCACTAAAGTTTCGTTTAGTTCAGCAAGGTGCGTCTTTGGTTAGGCTCGCAGACTTGCAATCGTACAGTCGTGGGCTCGAATCCGGAAGTTGTGTTTTAGACAGACTCTTTACACGAATTTTCCTCACTTCACCCACGTGGGAATTGGTACCCGGATAGTAGACAACGAAAGATCTTGTCAGTTTATTAGTGTCTGAGTGCCTCCAGTTACCAGCTTGCCCCGTAGTATGCTTCTTGGAAGCTGAGAATGTTTCTGAGTGTTCTAGGGTCTGCTGGGGAAGTAATAATAATTGTAAAATGAATATCACATGTTACAAAATGTGGGTGTGCACGATATAAATGCTATTGGTAGTAGTAATAGTAGTAGTATTAGTAGTAGTAGTAGTAGTAGTAGTAGTAGTAGTAGTAGTAGTAGTAGTAGTA